CCTGGTGAAACCCTGGGCCCCACCCAGCCAGGGTGACAGGCTCCCTCCTGCCTGCACTGTCACCAGGACTGCCTGCTGGCTGCTCGGGGAAGCTTTATGTGTCCACAAGGTAGGAGGGCAGGTGGGTGGGGGAACTCAGCTGCCAGGAGAAGGGAGAGAAGCTGGCAACCCAAAAGGGACTGCTGAGGAGGGAGGCAGGAGCGCGCTCCCTTCCTACGCCCTGCACACTTGCTCAGCCCAAGCACGCGCTTAAAGCCACGTGGACACTTCTGGGCTCCCAGCCTCCCCAAGAGAAAGAAAGCCATTTCACTTCAATAGGCGTGGGGGTGCTGGGACAGCAGGCGCAGAGTGGGCAGCCTCCTGGCTGGTCTGGGGTCTGGGTAGACCGAGTGCTGCCCCCCTTGAGTTGTCCCTGTAGCTTGTACCTGTGCCACCTGTCAGCACACTGCAATCCGCCAGCACCAAGGGCCTGGGCCCAGGACTCCACATTCGTCTCTCCTCTTCCTGAGCTCGTTCACACAGGTTCTGGGCCATTGCCACTAACACTGCCATTTCCAAGGTCTTCAGAGATTAACTGACTGTTTCCCACAAGCCTGTGCTAGCTGGAAGGCAGGCCACAGAGCCAAGGCTACAGCGCCAAGGATTCCTGCAGGGGCCCCCACGTTCGTGTCTTATAGATGTTTCAAAAAAAAAAAAAAAAAGAAGGGGTCTGGTTCTGTTTCTACTCTGATTCCTTTGGCTTTGCCATGGTAAACTTGAGTCAAGGACAGCTCAAGTGTCATAGGTTCCCAGAGTCCAGGTGTGGTTAGATTCTTGAGACATGTTGAAGATAGCAAGGTATTGGGACAACTATAACAACCCAGCATGTGTGTGACCATGCTTGGTCCCATTACAGAGACTCTACTGCTCAGCAATCTCCATGAGGCTCTGAGAACTGGTTATCATAGGCAGTGTTCACTGCTAGGACATTTGACAGACAACACAGAACATGATCTTGGGCTATGTGATAGAGTCTGACCTACAGACTATAAGAGGCCTTTGGAAAGATGGCCCAAGGACATGGATGGACAGAGGTCAGAGGTCACACAGCAGCCAGTCAGAAAGCTGCTCTCATGTAGCGCAGAAACCACCCTCTGAATCTTGCTCCCAGGATGGCCTGGTTCTCCTAAAAGAAGTGAGAGGGCATCTCAGGCCTCCAGGAACCTGGCCAAAAGTTCTAGAAGGGCAGCAATGAAACAAGGAGTCATTGTGGTGTTGAGTTGGGTACCACCAACTAGGATCCATGAAACCTCATAGATGTGTCAGATAGCATCCTGGCTGCTGAGGGGGGCATCCACCACATCTGGATCCTCAGCAGGACCATCACTGTCACCTCTCAGTGACTCATAAAGGCAAGGCAGGGTCACCCACCACTCAGCCTGGGATGCTTACAGGCCCCAATGTGAGGTGCGTGTTTGGCTCCTGTATAGGTAGATTTTATTGTCAACTTGACAGCATATAGTCAGCTTGCAAGAAGACAGGGAATCCCAACTCAAGAATTGCCTTGATCAGATTGGGCTGTGGCACAGTCTTGATAGTTAATTGTAGAAGGGCCTAGACCACTGTGGATGGTGCCATCCTCAGGCAGGTAGGCCTGAGTTGTGTGATAACGCAGGCTGAGCACGAGCCAGGGGGAGAGAAAGCCAACAGTCTGCATTCCTCTATTAATTCCTGCTTCCTGCCCCTGCCTTGATTGCCTGCCGGGACTTCCCTCAGTAATGGGGAGTGACCTAGAAGTGGAAGATAAAATAAACCCTTTCCTCCCCAGGTCGATTTTGGTTGTGGTGCTTATCACAGCAACAGAAAAACAAACTAGGATAAGACAATGAACGGGAAGACAGGCTGTGGCAGGGTCCCGTCACAGCTGCAAGAGGGCTACACAGGACCAGCAAGCAGACGGGTTTGCTGCTGGAGATGAGGCAGAGTCAGTATGGCAGAGGGTAAAGGCTGATCCTGCGAGTTCTGATTTGCTCAGATGTGGGGACAGCAAGGGACCTCTATGACACTGTTGAAAGATAGGTGGTGGACAGCAACAAGGCCCTTCCCCCACCTCGCCTATTTCAGGGACAGCTTATCCTACTTGTCTCCTATTCCAAGAAAGAGATAGTCTCCCCTCAGCCCCCCTCTACGGGCACCAGGAATAACAGTAATTCTCACTTTCAGATAGCCCAGGGAAGCCAGTGGCGGTAAGGGCCAGCACTGCGGTGACCGTGACAGTGGATGGGAAGGCAGCCACGGCAGCAGGTAGGCACCGCCCTGAACCACTGTGCTGGGAGCTACAAGGCAGTGTCAGGGCGGGGGCTGGGGGGGCGGGGCTGGCTCAGCCAGAGCACCTGTCTAGTTGGCCTGAGGCCACTTCTGTCCCCGGCACCACACACACAGGAAGAAAGAATAAGATGCCCTGGATATAGGGATTCTAAATTTTCCCAGGAGAAATTCCGGGGAAAGGAAGTGGATGCTTCTGTCATTTTGTTTATAAAACCAAAAAGATTCACAGAGCAAAATGAAGCTCGGAGAGGTTAAGAGACCTGTTCAAGGTCACACAGGACAGGGACAATCCAGACCTTCATCCTATCCCTGGGACACTGCTTTCCTAAGGTATCACCTTGAACTCTAGACCTGGGCTCATGACTTAGCACTTTCTACCTGGAATTCAGGGTGCCCACGGGAGGCCTTATTACAGACAAAGAAACTGAGGCATGGCGAAGTTATTTATCCAAAATCCCACAGCTAGTAAGAAAGACAGAATCTGGGCTCGGAACACCTCTTTGGGAACCAGGGTCTCTCACTCCCTTGCTGACCTGACTCTGCAGTTTCTTGGTGACTAGGACAGTCCTTGGCATCTGTGCCTTGCTTTTTGATCCCCTGTCATCATGCCCTCCACATCTCTCAAGAGGCTGTGCAACCCATGGTCTCTCATCCTGGTGGAGCTGGGGTACCAGGCACTTGTCTCCCACCCCAGGAGCCTAGCCGGATGGGAGGCTAGTGGCAGGCAGGACCCTGGTATCGTCCCAAGGCTGTGAGTGTCTGGGGGAGGAGCAGGAGGGGCAGGCCTGAGTTTCCTTAAGCAGCCCATGCTACCCAGAGTCAGGGTTCCTGTGTATTCCCTTCTGGGCTGAGACAGGGGAAGGTGGCTCGGTGACATGTCCACCCCAGTATCCCTGGCAGTCTGTAAGATGCCTCCGACCCTGTGAAAAGGATGTATTACAACCTAGAAGCTCATCACCATGGCACAATTCTTCCAGAGCCCATGGCATGCTGATCCTGGACAGATGTCAAGTCACCTTATCTCCCTAAAACCCTCCTGTGGTTTAGTCCCAGCAGATCCATGGCTACCTTGTTCTGCCTGGAGGTGACCTTCTTGGCCCCTCTGCCTTGAAGACCTCGGAAAGGAGAGAAGGAATATGAGGCCAGGCTGCTGGCTGTGCTTCTCCACACTCTCCAATTATCTGATTTAATTTTTAACTCAGAGCTGAGGTAGAGCCAGGAGGGGTTGCCATAGAAACCGTGTCCCAGTGCCTTGAGTTGAACTCCTTCAGACAGTCCCTGTGACGCTCAGGGTGCACGGCTGTGACAGAAAAAGCATGAGGCGTTAGAGACCTGACACTGTGAGTTCACCTGCATCTCATTCTGTATTTCCCTTTGCCTGGTCCCTGGCACAACCTCCCTGATGCTCCAGCTGGGACCTTCAGTTCAAGAAGGGGTAGGTGGCATGTCTGCTGTCCCTGGAAGCTGGGGCCTTGGGTGCTCTCCAAAACAGGCTGGCGTGCTGCATGGTGTGTCAGCACGGACTGTGTCTGAGACCTGTCCTGCTGTCTGGAGACGCTTGGGTCACCTTAAGGGTTTGCATAGGTAGGGCGGCTGCCCTCTGTGCATCTCCCTCTATGAATTTGGCTTTGGCAGCAATGTGTGCTGTGCTGTGCTGTGTTGCTCCTGCAGGGGGCTCAGAGGAGACCAGGTCTGGCTCTGCTATAGAGGGACTAGAGGAGGGTGACCTGGCTCTGACCACACCTAGGAAGGAAGTCTCTCTGGCTGCAAGGTTTTGTGTATCCTGGGGGTTCACGTCTTGCTGAGGTCTGTTCCTGACTTGGTCGGCTGTCAGTGCACAAAAGCTCCCCGGGTAAAGATTCCATGTGAGTCTCTAAAAAACCACTGATCTAGGGGCCGGTCCTGCCCTGGGGGCAATAGGGCCCCAAGCAGCCAAGCTTTTCCTCCAGGGCTGGACTGGCAATCCCAGAGGCCACGCTTCCTTGCTGTTGCCTCTTCAGTGATGTACTCCCAGCTTTCTAGTCCCTAATTCCAGCTCCCCACTGGCTGACAGAGGCGTATTCATACGTCTAGGTATGGGGTGCTTATGTAGGCTAAAGTGACCTTCATGAAACTCCAGCAAACCTCCACAGACCCCAGGTGAGGCTATAAAACCTAGGTGACAGGGCAACTAGCCTCCCCACCTCCTGGCAAGACAAGGGTCCTCGGGCAAACACAGGCCATCTTCTATGCAAATGCAAGCCTCATGCCACATGGGTCATCACCTGCCCTTGACTGCAGGGACAGATTGGTCAGGAGCTAAATGGATGCCCAAGCGCACGGCCTAGCAAGGTCTGCTCACCTCAGCTCCACAATCCTTACTCTTCCCTGGGACTCACATTTGTTATTGCCAGGTTAGAGCATGGCTAGATTGAGCATGGCTAGGTTGAGCATGGCTAGGTTGAAAATGCCAGCTCAGCCTGGGCCAGAGCTTGTCACCCTTGTCCTGGGTCAAATCCTACCCAAGATGCTGTCTTCACATCCCTCCCAGTTCTGAGGTCCTGGATACTGAGTAGGGGGCCCATCTGTCACATAGAGCTCTCTGCCTCAGGGTGACATTCCTCTACAAGTGGCTTGGCTGTCTGACAAAGCAGGGAGACAGGGCACCATTCTCCCAATGCCCACATCCCCTCCCACCCAATGAAGCCAGGAAATACATAGGAAAATAGTCTTTATTGGTCTTCTGAAACAACAAACCAGAAATATAATTTGCCTTTAAAAATCTTCTGTCTCAGGCTAAAGATATCACCACTGACAACACCCTCCCTCCCCCAGGCCCTTAGAAAATCCCAGCTCTGGGATTGGCCCACCAGCCAAAAGAGGAAGGCAGGCTGTGGCCTGGCCTAGAGGATCCTGTGATCCTGTATAGCAGCCCGTGCTCTCTGTGTACAGGCCAGAGAGCCACCGTGAAAGCTCTCCGGAGACTCCCAGTGCACACCCCTGCTAGTAGAGCACGTGATAGAAGGCTGCCCCATGCCCCGTAGACGAGTCCTCAATGCCTCCGTGTCTATCTGGCCTCTTTCTGGCTACCACCTAGACCCTTCTCAAGGCAAGGTATTAGCCTGGCATCTCTTACAGAGGAACACCAGTCTCTAAGGAGGGGACAGTTGAGAAAAGCAGACAGCAACCCTGAATATGTGCACAGCCCAGGGGAAAACAGTCTCCATCCCAGATAGGACTACAGTCCCTTTTTAGCTTGTACCAGCCCAGGTGCAATTGCACACTCCCAGGAAACCAGGCAGAACCTATGAACCCCTGGGGAAAGGAAGCCCCATCGCTGAGGACTCCGAACAGAATGTAGCCATCCTGTTCCTGTTCTTGCGAATGTGTTGAAGGCAGCCAGCCTCATCGAGGACCCACAGCCTGACATCTGCTCTCCTTTAGGTGAACCACCAATCTCAGAGCACAGCCCAGACCCAGCCTTGAGGTCACAAACAAATGATGCAGATGACAGAGGAGGCAGGAGAAGCAGAGGAACACAAATGAGGCTTCAGGCTGTGGCAGTGGGAACTGCTGGGTGTGCCTGGGACCTGGCAGGGTAGAGGATCCCAGGCATACCCAGAGGTCTACAACTGAGCTCTCAGGAGCCTGGAGCCTAGTGTGTGTGTGTGTGTGTGTGTGTGTGTGTGTGTGTGTGTGTGTGTGTGTGTGTGTGTGTGTGTGTGTGTGACTGTGATAGCAATGCCCTGTGTTCGACAGTGAATTAGCATATAGAGTAAAACCCTGTCTCAAAACCCAACGCTAAAACAAAAATATAAAATTAATAAACCCAGAGCAATGTAGTCAGAGTCTGTAGCAGATGAAGGAACACAATGGCATCCACCCAAGGAAGACGTTATAGTCACTTTGGTTTTTCTAAGCACTGGACCCAGATCACAGGGCTGGGGGGTGTTTGCACATTGGCACCAGCCTCTGAGAGCCGGACGAGCTTCACGCTGCAAGGATCTAAGAATATCTTTCTGGCTTCAAAAGGAGTCACAAACATTACCCCTGCTCCCCTGTCCCTCCCTCTCAGGCCCTATGCAGACTGAAGTGGGAATGAGCAATAGGAGGTAGGGAGAGGTCTCCAGCTGTGTTGGCCCTGGGCAGGAGGGAGGTGTTCGGTGTTTGTGGTGTCGGTTCTTCCCTGTGGTCAGAGTCTACAGGGACGCTCTGGTGTTCTAAAGACCAGGGGCCCAGAGAGGAACCTTTGGCCAAGGGAAACTTCTAGAACCTTGGAAAGAGACTGGGAGGCTGCTCTACTGGAGGGCAGACGAGGGCCAGGTTGCTGAGGGAGGCAGTAGCAGTGTCAGACTGAGGCAGAGCATATGAGGGAGGGAAGGGCAGCCCTTTTAGTAGCAGTTCCGTGGAGCCTCCTGGCTGTCCTACCTGGGCCAAACAGACAGCGCTCATGCCACAGAAGAGATCTGTTTCTGATCTTCATGCTCACCCTCGGGGTCCCCCATCAGCGGCTGGCGCTTCTTGAGCTCCCGGTGGTACTTGGCCATGAGGGAGGCATAGATGCAGCCGTAAGCAGCAGCCACCACCATCATGATGCAGACAATGCCACATACTACACCCGCAATGATCACTGTGCCGATGGCTCGCCGCACACTCACGGGCCGGTACCTCTGCTTTTGAGGGCAGGCAGTGCTGGGCTCAGGCTCGGGCTCGGGCTCGGGCCCCGGCTTAGGTTTAGCAGGCTCTGGGCTGGCTTTGGTGCAGGGTGGCCCTGGGGCATCCACCCCAGCAGAATTGTTCTCGTCCTCTAGCTGGGAACAGTAGTTAAACATCTCCATGGGTACCGCACGCATGTCCTTCCCCCTTAGCTCCTTGGGAAGAGTGCAGGCAAGCTGGTCTAGACGACCCCCTGCATCCAGGAAAAAAAAAGGAGGTGCTGAGCAGGCATCTGGAATGGGGGTACTCTCCCCTCCTCCCAGGCCTCCAAATGAGAAGGCCCAAAAGTACAGTCCTGCCAGTAATGTAGTCCTGATTACAGAAGAGGAAGTAGTACCAACGGGCCAAGGGCTGTGGTGGATGTGTGTCATACAGAAGGCCGCGGCGGCTGCCAAAGTCATTGAAAGTGGACATTACCATTCCTTTTATTTCATAGAGAAACTCACATCCATCTCATTCAAGCCTGCCCCTCCAAGGTCACACTGGCCTGCAGGAGGACAGCAGTCCCAGCTGAGGGCATGCTCAGGACACGACTTTGGTACATCAAGTCATGTCCCTGCCCAGACTATATCTACTTCTCTGCCCAGGTGCTCGCTGATATCTATGAACCCTTGCCACTGTTTTCAATACAGCGCCTTGGTCTGTGTTCCTTCTCACAAAGAGAACAGGTCAGAGGCACTGGCTCACCCAGTCTTCACGGGGCTTTGATGGCCTGAGAACACCCAGGAGAGGGCATGGGCATGGCATCTGTCTGGGTCAGTCAGGTTTGCACAGAGTTATCTAGGGAGGAGATCCTGAGACACAGGAGGCTGGAGCTGGAAAGTCTGACCCCAGGGAGGCCAGACGGGGTGGAGAAAGAATATCAGTGCCTAACTGGGTAGGGTAAGCAAGCAGGAACTAAGGACTGTAACATGGACAGACATTCCCAGGAAAGTTGGAGCTGGAACCATTCAGCTTCTAGAGAGGCTCAACTACATCGCTACGGCCACCTCGAGTCCAATCTGAGAACAGACATCCACCTTACCCCAGGATGCTCAGGGTGCTGGTGCAAACACAGAGGTTTTTGTTTTGTTTTTTTAGGAGTACAAGGCTGAAGACAAGGTCTGGGAAAGGGGCTCCGGCCTGCTGTTAAGGGCAAGGATGTGCCTGCCCTAAGTCCAGCACCAGGTCTTTAATGCCACCTGGGTATTACTGGAAAGGCTGAATGAAGTGAGCATGTAACCAAGGCCACCTTGGTTGGAATGACAGAGAGCCGTTATGGGAGTGAGAAGGACCTCATTTTCCTGCCCCAGAGACCCAGGACTGAATCCTGGCTGTGTTGTCACCTGGAAAGTATTTAACTTACCTAATTATGCCCAAATCTTAGTATTCTTAGCTGTGAAATAAGGATATCTGCCTCAATTAGCTGCTCAAGAGATTAAAATAGATAATGTGCACAAAAAGGTATTTGTAAACTGGGAACTAGACAACTGCATTAATCATTTCTCCATGTACAAAAGCAGAATTATCCGAGTGACTAATAGCTCAAAGTACTTTATAGTTTGTAAAGTGCTTTTAATTAATGCATCCGAGTAGCATGGAAATATTGAGTTAGTGGCTGGATAGGAAATGATCGGGGTAAGAGTAAGGGAACACACTGTGCTATTTGAAGAATTTCAGCACTGATTTGCTAATGACACATACACCAGTAGCTGCCTTGTGCTGGGCACTAACTGTGTCTTACTGTGTGCATTTAAGAATACCACTAGCAAATGAGCAGGTGAGTGAGTGTTCCACCGAGCACTTCCTTCATGTTGGGTACTTTTCAAAAGACCTCATATGCACTGCCCTATTTAATTCTCACAATCTACCTTTCTCCCCTTTTACAGATATACCACAGAGATGTTAATTAACTTCTCAAGATCACACAGTTAGTAGGTGGCAGGGCCAAAATTCAAACGAGAGTTGTTCAGTTTCCCATTCCATCCCTGCTCTACCTCCCAAGTGCTGGGATTACAGGTCTGAGCCTGGCTAAGCATTCATTTGATCACTTCATTTGTTCATTATAGAACTTTCTCAGGCTAAAGAAAGGGAGAGGGATCTGGAGAGATGGCTCAGCAGGTAAGAGCACTTACTGCTCTTGTAGAGGACCCAGGTTCAGTTTTCAGAACCCTTACTGAGTTGCTCATAACTGCCTATAACTCTAGTTCCAGGGAACACCCTCTTCTGGCTTCAGAGGGCACTGCATGCATGTGGAGTACATAATACACTTGGGCACATACACACATATACCTACACATAAAGTAAATAAATAAAATTTTCCTTAAGTTGTGGGAGAAACCAGGAGTGTTGCCTGGCAAGTTTAGGTTCATCCTGGAAGACATAATGAGTCCCAAACCTGGGCCAAGAGTCGGCTCTGACGTAACAACATAGAGCTGTCAAGATAGCTCAGTGAGTAGGGTCACTTACTGACCAGCCGCTGGCCCGAGTTAGATCCCTGAACCTACATGTTGGAAAGAGAGAACAAACTCCTGAAGCTGCCCTCTGACTTCCACGTGTGTTCTGGGGCATGTATGCACACATGTGCATACGTGTGTGTGTGCACATACATACACATGTGCAAATAAATAACAAGTTTTTTAAAGGAGGGGGAGGAGAAAGGAAGTAAAGCTAAAACCCTCCAGCTGTTTATTAAGTTTCTTGTCAAAACTTCTTGGGACAGGAAGGTGACAACCACCTTCATAGGAAAATGGTTATGTCTGTGGGTTTTGGTTGCATTCTGCCCTCATGAAAGAGACAGGAGGCCTTATTATTCCCAGGAAATGTGATTGTTCCTCTTCCTGTCTGTAGGGAAGCCCCAGAGGTATACTAGTGGGATAGAGAACACAGAAAAAAGCACCATGTGTCCTTAAGTCCCCACGGGAAACCTAAGAAAGGGAGGCAAAGGTACACTCCGCCCTTAATGAGCCTTAATGAGCAGAGAGGAGAGGTGCCTGACCTTCGCTGCCTGCAGGGAGGTACTGATATTTAGGGAGGGGGATGTAGCTCTTCCTCCCCCTGACCTCATCCCAGCTCCCCTCATACCTGGGGGCGGGGGTGCGTGGTAGAGCTCACCTCTGTAGGAGAACCACTCCAGCCAGTGTTTGAACTCTCGAAGGTTACAGTCACACTCCCATGGGTTGTCCCCAACCTGAAGTAGCTGCAGGCTTGCCAGGGGTTCAAAGGTCAGCCGGTCCAGGCTCTGCAGACGATTGGAGCGAAGGGACAAGGATCGAAGAGCCAGGAGCCCGTCAAAAAGCCCCAGGGGCAGCTGGGCCAGGCCGTTGATAGACAAATCCAGATGGCGAAGCAGCGGGCAGTGCTGGAGCAGGTCCCTGTCCAGGGTCCTGATGCTGTTGTTCCGCAACTGGAGCTCTGTCAGATTGACCAGGTCCTGGAAAATGGACCTCGGTAACTGGTCCAGGAAGTTGTTGGACAGGTCCAGCCGCTGCAGGTTGGACAGGTTGGCGAATGCCCAGCTGGGCAGGGCACTTAGTTTATTGTTGAGGAGCAGAAGGCTTTGGGTGGCAGCGGGCACATCCGGGGGCACAGAGGTGAGGCCCAGGCCACTGCAGTCCACCTCCAAGCTGCGACTGTCACATGTGCATGAGAAAGGGCAGGCAGGGAGCGCCTCCACAGCACACAGGGCAATCCAGCAGGTGATCCCTAGGGAGGAGTCAGGAAAAGAAAGTAACAGCCTCCGGTTCCCCCTTCCCAGCTCATGCCCTAGTACTTTCTTAGCCTCTCTGCTTTGGCACAAGCATTTACTGTGTCAGTTCACAAGTATTTACTGACCACACAGGAAGGTGTTTGGGAACCTGAAACATCCATGCTAAAGGACATCACACTGTGACGAAAAAAATCATGTTTATTAGTTGAGTGGCCTAGAGGACCAGCCATACAGTTTCTCAGTTCTGTTCAAGGCCTCCACTGCTAAGTGTCTCCAAACCTAAATGTCCTAATGCTCCAAATGTTACAAAATGTAAGATTTTAGACTACCAGGGAAACTGTTCAAAGTCAGTGGCCACACGGTTTGGGTCCTTCCTTTGGGAACCTTATCCCCACCTCAAGCCACATCACACTGGGATATGCTTTGCACATGAAAGGGAGTCCGGAATATATATGCCCTACAGCATCTAAAACGCTGTCCCATTTATCTGATTCTCAAGTCTAAGGTAGGACTCAGGCCCAGCTGAGGCCTGCACTGTGACAACGTCAGGGTAAACCAGCAGCTTCCAACACTAGAAGTCTGTTCAGGACTGCTTGGTCTACATTTGAACTCTGAAGCTGGCAGGCCCATCCTATACTTCTAGCCTTAGGGTGCAAGGTAGCATTTCCAAGCAGATCAAGTAACAGGGTTCTTGCCATGTCTTGTTTTGGCCCAAGACCCTTCTAAGTAGAGTATGTGGATCCAGCCTATGGATGCCTACTGGAGGTGAGCCCCCATTGTCAGCAATGCCCTGTAGTCAGCCCCACTGCCCTGAGTGCCAGGGAGGCCTGCCTTCCTGGGAACCTGAGGAAATAGCTCACACAACAAATTTTTATCAATAAAATGCTAGTGGCTTGACCACTATCTATACTTACAAAGAAAAAAGAACAAAGGAAATAGCTCACACAGTTGTTTCTACTGAATCAACTCGACCTTGAGTCCTGAGAAAAGCCTCCAGATGGAGAACTGATGAAGTTCAAAGCCAGCTGCCACCCAGCTGGCCCTACTTGGATGGCCAGCAGCCAACCCGATCAGGGCACCTAGATGAGACAGTCTCCAGTCTGTCTGGGGGGGTGTCTAGTCATCTGTCTGGGGGAGGTGTCTAGTCATCTGACGTCCCAGAGGGTAGAGCTTGAGGAGACACGATGACACTCTCCCTGCCCTTCCTTGTAGGATTAATGACAGTGAAGGATACACCATGAGGCTGACACCTGAGCCACTTTGTTCTTGATGGGAAATGAGTACACTTAGCTATTACAGTTGGCTAGAGACCTCTCCTTGTTACCTGAGGTCACCTGAAATGACCTCTGCCTCTCTGAGCCAGCCTGCCCCAAACCACACAACCACATACACAATCACACACACTACACACATACACAATCAATCACACACACACACACACCATCTGAACAACAACACTTTATGTGTTACTTTCTGGGAGACGCCAAGTGTGATGCACACATCTGTATTCAGTACTTAGGAGGTTGAGGCAGAGAATCACAAGTTTAAGATTAGCCTGTGCTACAAAAGAACTATCTAAAGAAAATGAAAGAAGGAATGGAGAGGGCATAGAAGGAGGAAGAGAAAGAGAAAGGGAAGGATTGAAAGAAATCAGGAAGATGAAGAGTGGGAAGGGGAGGAGAAGGATGAGGAGAGGAGGGGGAGGGGAGGGCAGGGGAGAGGGAGGGGAGAGGGAGGGGAGAGGGGTTCAACCCATCAGTACCCCTTGAGAAGGACAATCCGTATCAGGGACAATCACTTTCAGGAGCCACATTCCACACACTTTCTGGTAAATAAACTGACAGCTGGACAGGGAGGAAATGACTCCTTCTCCCCCCCCCCCCCACCCTATCCCACCCCACCTCTGCCAAATTCAGAGTTGCAGCAAAGCTCTATGATAAGAAAACATAATCCTGTACCAAGAGGTGTCAGCGTGATCCTAGGATGAAAGGAATCTGAGCCCCTCAGATAACCATTCACCTGGTGAATAATTCAGGCTGCTCCATGCCAGGGCAACTGGACCGAAGGCCAGAGGAAGTCAGGCAGAGCAATGTCCCTCTGGGTCATTCTTTCTTCTTACTGTATAGCCATGGGCAAACCAGCTATGGGGGACTTTATTCCTTTGAAGAGAATTTTCATGGACGAGGATGCTTTCACTAGCATGTAACCTTAGTGTGCCGTGTACAAAGGGAGGAGTGGACCCAGTCCCCGTGACCTCTTCTTCCACTGTTGCACACCAAGAGCTCACTAGTGCCTCTACAGAGCTTGCACACCAAGAGCTCACTAGTGCCTCTACAGAGCTGGGAATACTGCAGCATACAGACCCTGCCTCTGGGTTCATCCAGCAGATGAGATGGCTGAGGCCAAGTGGGAAGGCAGCTTCCCTTGTAGCCGAGACTGACTGGGACTGCGACCCGGGTGGAGCTGATTTCTGCCCCAGCCTAACACATGCTGCGCACGCTACAGATCCCAGTTAGAAGTGGTGGAGCTGGACCACTCTCCAGCAGAGCTCTTAGCTGATGACTGCCAGGGAACGAGAAGCATGAGGCAGAGCCATCTGTCCAGCCTCCATCTCCCGGCCTCAGGAAAGCACACACGGACTGCTTTACTTAGCAAGGCTGTGAGTCTGCGCCTCCAAAGGAAGGCCTTGGGCACCAAGTAAGGTCAGACATCAAGATGTTGCCCTGTCAGATACGCACATCCCCAACCTCATGCTGACCCATACTCACAGGAGATCTGCCTCCAGTGCAGGGCAAGCTTGCTCCTCTGCTCTGGGCCACTGCCTGGTGCCAGCATGGTGGAGCCCACACTCTCTGCAGCTCTGGAGAGAGCCCCTCAGCACGCAGCGACTATCAGTCCTGAGAGAGAGAGAGAGAGAGAGAGAGAGAGAGAGAGAGAGAGAGAGAGAGAGAGAGAGAGAGAGAGAGAGAGAGAGGGAGAGGGAGAGGGAGGGAGAGAGAACATTTGGAGCTCGTTCCAGCCCAGGGGTTAGGGACAAGGCCCAGGTGTCTCTTTACATTTTCATCCCCTCTCCTGTTGCTCTCCTGATGCTCTGCAGGGAGGGGGTCAAGAGGAGTAAGATATTTGCCTCCTAGGGGCACTGGAGGGCGCAGGCACTGCCAGCTGGACTCCAGCTCAGCCCTTCCCTTCCCTCCCCTGTCTTTCCGACTCCCCGGGGGGCCCTGCTACCTAAAGTCTCTGGTGGGCTTTAAAAATGATTTCGCTGCAATACTGCCTCCTCCACCCAGGCTTACCACATCACAGGTGGGGAAATGAAGGCACATCTCCTAGGTAAATGGTGAGGCCCCAGCTCCCGCCAGCACCTCTCATTTCTCCACCTGGATGCACCCTCTCCTGCACCCCCTCCCCAGCTTACCATAGCCGTGAGGAGGCAGAGTCCCGGCCCTCCCCTCCGTAGTGCCTGCTGACAGGACGTGAGGTGCTGTGCCCAGCTCCTGATCCCACTGTCACCCTGTGGTGAATCACAGTGACTGTCTTCTGCCAGCTAGTAGATCTATAGCTGCTTCAGCTCAGGGGTTCCTGCTCTTCGGCTGGTCACTGGTCCAGGAGAAACTGAGGCCTAGAGAGGGTGGAATGGCAGAGGGCTAGAAGTAGTCTAGGTGTAGGCAGCAGGTCACTCTTCCAGGGGACAAGTGGGCCACTTACCCTTTCTTGGGCCTGCCACAACCCAGAGTCTTCTACAGAGGACCCAGGCCTCCTTAGCACCCTCAGCTCCCTCCAGATGTGGTTAAGAAGCTCTGAGATAGGAAGCCAGAGCCTGCACCCAGCCATCTCCATCAGAGATGAAGCTAGCACCACTGAAAGGCACTAGGGACAGTGAGAGCCAGGAAAGGGTCAGACAGGGGAGGCTGATTTATACCCGAAGGGCTCTGTTCTCTGGAAACACTCCTCCCCGGATAGCAGCAAGTTTGGCCTTCTTTGACTTCCAAGTCCATGGCCCCTGCATAGTTCCACTTGCAGCCCTCGTAGTTCTGGTTAGTCCTAGAGCTCCCAGGTAATGGCAGAACAGAGCTGACACAGGAGGTGAGGCGAGCTGCCAGGATGCTCAGGCACTCCGTCTAGAAGCCGGAGCAGCCGGACACAGGTTTCCCTCGGGTGTTTGGGGATGCTCCATTGCATTCTCGCATCCTAACCCCATTTCATTGTCGTTTTGTTTGTTGTTTGAGCCCAGGCTGTCCTGGAACTTGTTACACATAGCAGGCTGCCCTCAATTTCACAGAGACCCACCTGCCTCTGCCTCATAAGTGCTGGGATTAAAGGCGTGCGCTACAATGCCGAACCCCAATTCCTGTTCTCTACCTCCTCTCCATCTCACCCTAGAAATCTTCAGGAAGCCACCAGTGTGGCCTGTGCTGCTGTGGCCTGTGTAGCCCTCAGATACTCTGTTCTGCTCCCAGTAAGGGCAGCTTGCTCAATTTCCATCTGCCAGCCTTGACTTCACCTCCCGACTTCCCAGTTGGGAGGCAACAGCTTATGAAAGGTGCAGCAGGTGCTCAGCACAACTCAGAGGTTAAGGACAGAAGCCCGGGCCCCGCTGCCATATGCATGCACCCAGGCACTCAGTGGTTACAGTGGCTTGACCTCAGTTCTAGTACCTCCCTGGCTCAGGTTCACAGGCAGAGTCTGTGGGTTCAAATCCATGACCTCCATCTCCTTCCAACACACTGCTTAAACTCTGCCCCAGCTTTTCAGCTCTAAAAGTGGCAGTCTGATGCTCGGTGGGTGGAAACAGAGTGGGTACATGTGAGGCACACATCACCCGAGGAGTTTCAGCACCTCGCCTTGAGCCTGTGATGGGCGTCTTCATCATCAGACTGACGCAGGCTGTGGCCAGTCCCAGGTTCCCATTCCATGTCACGCTCACCATATTCAGACTGAGTATATTTCTGTCCCTCAGATGCAACGCCTCCTGGGCAGTCTCCCTCTCACTGTGCCCCCTAGCCCCGCCTTTAAAACATCAGTCACACCACAGGTCACAGCACCTGTTAGATAGTAGCCACCCAAATGCATAGCTATAACCAGCTTCCCAAGGTTACATGGTGAGGATGGGTTGCAGGCTTCTGAGCCAGGCTGTCTGCACACTTCCTGATGGCTATCAGCCTGCAAGGACCCCATGGGGAAAGGCTTGTGTGTGCACAGAGCTCTTCGACACAACCTTGGAGCGCTGTATGCAGTCGAGTGAGGCGGGCACATATGGACAAATGTGTGGCTAAGCATATCATAACACGTGTGCTTGCACACAGGCGCTCCCACACACAGGTACCCGGTTTGCGAAGCTAGGCGTGAACATCAGCACATGCATGCACACCCACACACATACACATGCCTTGCTGGCAGCATTCCAGCACTTCTTAGCTGTCACTCAGGCAGCAAAGGGATGCCTCACAATTCCAGCATACCCCCAGCAGGGGGACACGGGGACACTTCCAGCCCGGAAGGGAGATCTGCTGAGAATCCCTCACAGCAGCCACCACGAAGCCAGGCCAGTTTTCTTGTTCAGGCCCAGGCAGGCTGAAGGCCCAGGCCAGCGCCTCCTCCCATTCCTGTGCCCTCTCACAGGGGACAGGCTGTGGAGGTTGACCTCCACCTCAGGTTCCATGAAGGCCCCTCCTCCCTCAGAGCCACACAGCCTACAATGCCCAGGGGCCCTGTATAGTCAGCACAGCACGGGGTGGTGTCTACTGAGGTGGCAGAAAGGACTGTGGTGACTGGTGTCCTCTGGAGAAAAGAGGACACATCTAAGAGAAGATAGCCAGGCTCTCTCTAGCTAGCTGATGTGCCCCCCCTGGTTTGTAGCATCTCGGTTGATGTCAGCGCCTTCCTGATCCTCGGAGAGATGTGGGGGAGGGACACCACCTAGTCCTTCCACCCCAAATCCACTCACACACCTCCCAGCGAAAGACCCTTCTACCCTGAAACAGCAGAGACACCTCAGGAAAGGGGTGACCTATATTGGGAAGCAGAGGACAGCTGCTGCTTCAGGCACTGTCCAACTGCTGGAATAAATTAACGCTCTGTGGGAGTGGGAGACACAATAGAGTTGGAGGTCTTGCCAGAGGACCCTCTGTCTGTCCACCTCACCCCCCCACACACACACACCCTCGTCTTCAGCTAATGGACACTGGATTCCGGACCTGCTCCAAAAATTAACCTGTGTTTGTCCTAGCCCTAGAAACGGAGAGCAGAGGGATGGGATGGGCCCAGCAGGGGGGGGGGTCCCTGGACTTCACTGGACTCCAGTTTGAAGAATGGGACTGATAAAGTAGGGGTGGCCAAGCTTGGCACCTCCCAAACCAGAAACATGCAGTTTTGACTCTGATGGGTTAGTAAGGTCAGATAGCCCGGAACCTTTCAGAAATGGTGAATCTCAGGTCCCACCCAAACTATAGGAGAATATGCCAGATCCCAGGCAATGCAGGGGCACAATCAGGGTCTAACAGTTACCCATCTCTAGGCCAGGGAACTGGAGACATCATATGCTGCATACGGCGAGCCTGGAGGAGCTGAGACAGAAAATGGCAGATATAAAGGAAATACATCTGGGGCTCACCCACATCTTAACTAACCTAGCCTAAGGCAGGACAACAAAAGGGCAGTAATCTGAGGGCCTCCTACAAGCCTTTACATGGTTAGATACTAACGGCCACAGTCAAAGAACTACACAGTGTTCTTGGTGTTCATACAGTTCAGTAAGGTTAGAATTACTATCAGCATCATAGGGAAACAGGCATGGCAAAGCTTGGGCAAATGGAAGAATACAGACTGGACCTGAGTTACCTGACCACAGCTACCAACTCAGGTTCTCCTGCCTCAGCCCCAGCCCTCAGATAAAGGCTGAGTCAGAAACAGGGACAGACAGCCCTCATTCATGTAGAAATTTACCGTCTATAAGGCATCTTCTCATCACTGTTTCACTGGAGCTGAGCAAACAGCCATTCCTGTTTCCGTCCTACCCACAGGCTGAAAGATACCCAGAAAGCCACTCCAGGGTGGGAGCTGGGGGACGTGGTAGGGCAGTCAGGGAGTGGGGGACGTGGTAGGGCAGTCAGGGAGTGAGGAATGGAGCACTCTGCAGGTGAGCCAGCTGCAGGGTGCAGGCAGAAGCTCCACGTGTCCCTGCTAGCCCAATGGCTGCTGTACCCACTAGAGATAGGGCGTGGGAGCAGAACCCCAGCTGCCCCCTTCCGCAGCTTGGAGCAGCCAGACTTGCTCTGCAGAGCATCGCGGTTGGGATGACAGAGGGCACCTGCCACCTGCCTGCCCACCCTCCAATTTCTCCCACAGATGTCGGCCTACTCTCCCTATAATGTGGGCTCACACTCAACTAAAAACCCAAGACACCTCTCCCCAGGCCTGGGATCCACAGGGTTCCTCTAAGCTCCTTCTCCGTACCATCTACGACATGCAGCCTATGAGTGCCCTCCTGATACTGGCCCATTGCTGTGCATATCCCTCCAGTTGCCCCTGGGTCAAGGCTTCTGCACCACAGCCCCTCTCTGTACACCAAGGGGGAAGGAGAAAGGGGATGCATGGCCTACTCTTCCCGCTTTGTTCTTCAGGGAGGCTCAAGGCTGGTGGGTGGCTGAGCTAGGACAGTAAGCCTGCAAGTCATCCTACCCCTTCCCAGAGGACTTCCAGGGAGCCTGGACATCTGGAATTCCATGTGGCCCAGAACATAGGAAACTGAAATGTCCCCTGGGTTGCTGTCACTTGTCTTGCCATGAGACCCTTCTAGGAAATACCCCACATCTGCCCCATCGGTCACCCCTAAACACATATTGCCCAATGAAGCAGTTTCTAAACCCCTTCTAGATGTCTGCTTGGAGCAGTCATATGCCCTCCCTCCGGGTTCCTCTCGGTCCACTGTTTCCTGACTTCCAGCTTCTTCAGTCACATCTCCTTGTCCTCCCTGTCATTGATAGAACCCCTGGGAGGCAGAACAGGAAAGCCCCTGAGCCACCCAACACGCACCAGGGTTGCTCTGAGAAGCCGAAGTGTCCATTGAGGACTCAGAAGACTCCAACCATTCACTGCCTCATCGGGCAGGAGCCAAGAAAGATCACCCACCCCACACGCAAGCTTCATCCTGACTCCCTCGTCTTCCCAGCATCACGCACACACACACACACACACACACACACACACAAACACACACACACACACACACACACACTCCAGCTCCCTCCCTCACCACCCACCTGGCCAAAGTAAGACCTTGGCTCTGGGTCTTGGCACTTGGGAAATGAGAATAGGGTAAGCTTGTTCTGCAAGCAGACACATCCTCTAGCCAGACCTCAAAGAACACAGCTAGGGGGCTTAAGAAGCCCGCCTCTTTGCCTGCCCTGCCTGGTTTTCCCCGGCTCCCTCTTCTGGCAGAGCCAGAGCCCTCCTGCAGTGGGAAGGTGGGGGTGGGAGCGCTGGGCTCTTCTTGGCAGCTTGGAAGCTGATGTTGGATTTCCCTACCAGCTGGACTTCCCCCGCCCAGAGCCACATGCTGGAGCCTTCCCCTCCCCCCACCTGCTTAGTTATCTAAGCTGTGGGCCTGTCAATCTGAGTCACACAAGGCAATGCCCAACAAACCCTGGCAGCCCGGTGCCAACATCCCCACCACCACCCAGGAATGCAGACAGCTGGGGGTGGGAGGCAGAGCAACCAATCAGAGCCCAGCCCCAGACCTGCCGGTCATACAGGAATTTGAACTGCAGATTCCTGGGCAGAATCCAGCGTTATGAAATGGGCCTGGGGCTCCTGAGAGCCAAGGTCCTGCTCCGAATCAGGCATCCATACCCATGAGAGCCAGGCAGTCAGGTGAACGTGACCTGGCTGTACACTGCCCCCTACACTCGGTGCCAGGGCTCCAAAGGCATCTGGCCCACCTGCTGCAAAGGCCATTATGCAGTGGCGGGCCACCTCAGAGTCGCATGTTCCTGGCTTGTCTAGCTAGCTCCCCAGTGTGCTAAAATCAAGGCTTGGGTTTGTAAGGAAGAACTACCAGACACCCTCCTTCGCTCCCAGCCACACCCCCACCAGGGAGGCTCCATCAAGACTGCAAAGACTGTTTCAACTAGCAAGGGCTCCTTTACACCCTTGCCCAAGGACAGCTACCTGAAGGCCAGCAAACCCAGCCGGAGCAACTGGTATAAAGGTCCGGTCCCTGCCTCACTCAGTGGGTCCTCCACCCTCCACCCCCACTTCAAGCCTCTCTGTACGCCAGCCTGTCTCCAGCACCCAAGCTGTCTCCCCCTCCTCTGGTTTGCCGCTCCTCCTGCTGCAGGGACATTTCTATGCTACCCGGGGCCATCATGTGGCACCAGCGCTGCTCTCCTCCCTGTCCCCTCCTCCCTACCCCCTCCTAAGCAGAAAGCCTAACTATGTCCCCAGCACTGAGGGGTCAGAGTTCCTAGTGCTCTGTACCTTGGGTTGCCCAGGTGTCTGGTCCTAAGTGTCTGGTCCCCCCACCCCACCCCAGCAACTGCCCTAGGAAGGAAGCCCTGCTAATCGTGCAGGGCCGGGTGGCCCAACGCAGATGGTCCCTAGTTCCCATACCCGAGCCACCCTCCTTTTGCGCGGACCCATTCTCTCCCAGAAGCTGCTCACAACTCACCTTTTTGCACTGGAACCTGATGCTCAAACCAGGTAGCTGGACATGGGCAGCTTGGCAGGCAGAACGCGGGGATGTCGGGTCTAGCTCAGGGCAGCGGGAGCCTGGGCAGCGCCTGAGAAGGAGGCGGACCCATAGGCTGAGCTGCCACTGCTGGGGAGGGGGCTGCGGGGTCAGCGACAAACTGAAGCGAAAGAGGGAGGGCGGGAGGAAGACAGACCGAAGAGGGGGAGAGGCAGAGGGAGCAGAGCGCGCGTGCTCAACAGCAAGCAAGCAGAGGGAGGAGAGCACGCAGCGGAGTGACAGCTGGGGCGCATCTGCGATGGCGGGCGCGCGCACAGGTCGCTGAAGCTCTGTGGTAGCAGGACAGCGTTTATGGGTCATTCACCCCTGCCCCAGACCAGAGGTAACCGCATCTCCTCTCGCCTCCTCTGTCTGTCTGTTCCCAAGGCATGATCTTCCAAGAGGTACAGGACCTAGACCACAGTTCCAAGGACTGACTTGAATCCCAGACCTGCTAGGACACTGGGTCTATCTCCTGTGTCTGAGCCCATTTGTGCGAAAAGCCCACTCCTTAAAGTCTGAGTTCTCTTGCAAGAGGAGCACTGAGGGTCCTCAGAGATGCTGGTGGAACCGAGGGCCCTCTAGGCAGGGGGGCTGAGCCCCTAGATGTGACTACCCTTGGCCGGACTATTTAGGAGAACAGTGTGTCAGAGCAGGCAGCTGCAGCCTGGAGGACCAGGTGCCCAGCAAGTACAGAGACCGTGTGCCTCAGTGCCCACAGGGAACCCTGAAGGAGCCGACCCCTTGCTGGTCTAAAGGATGGGTCAGACATGTGAAGGAGAAAGCTGTAAACAAGAATGCAAAGGCCTCTACGAATCAAGGCAAAGCATGTCAAATTGTTGTTTACTGGGATGGTGAGTGTTCCCTCCAAAGCTGAACTGAGCCAGCGGCTAAGCCAGGAGAGAGGTAGCCTTCCCAGTCTGCAATGTGAAACGCCCCTCATTCCTTCCCATGCTGAAAGTCTGCCTGTCCCACCGATGGTCTAGATTGTAGGTAACACAGCAGAGGGGTGTGCCCACTGTCCGTCCTCCGTGTTACAGTCAGGGCTGGGGCCAAAGGCTGGAGGCCTCTTCCTTCGGGACTGCTAACCAAAAGAGCTGAGAGAGTCCCCATCTGCTCTGAAGTACCCTGCGCCTACCCGTCCAGCAAGGCAAGCGGCCACTGCCCTAACACCCCCCACCTCCTGTCCCAGGAAAACAAACCCTCCAGGGGCACAGTGTTCTCTGCCCATAGTGATCTAACCAACTTAAAAACAGCTCCAGGATGGCGACATGGCTCTACTAGAAGGTTACGGTACTTGTCATCAAGCCTAACGGCCTGAGTGGACCCCCCCCCCCAAGAATCCACATGGTAGGAGATAACAAACTCCCACAGGTTTCTTTGGGAAGGGTGCATACAGGCACACATACACACACACACACACACACACACACAGGTAAAGTTAACACCCCAACGTCCCCCTCTGCAGGGATGGTTTCCCTGGGTCATTTTATGGTTCTGGTCACAGAAACATTTGTGTGATAGCTTTCTGTCTTGTATTGTGAGCTGTTTCGTGGTAACTGACCTTACCCTCCCCCTCCCCCCCACAGTTCTAGGTACTCTTGATGGATAAGCTTACACTTCGGCTAAGTAGCTGGTAACCTAGAGCCTTGCTGTGTTCTTGCCTTATAGAATAAGCAGGTGGGTTGAGCTCTGAGGTTGCCTCCAGCCCTGGAATTCTATGACCCTGGTGCTCACTGAATACCTGCCAGATCCACAGCTAACACTGCAGAGATCGGGCTCCTCCCGCACAGCCTCTTTTCAGCTACTCATAGGCCAAGAAGGATCAACACAGGTGCAGAGGCCAGCAGAGAAAAGATGGCACTCCAGAGGGAGGGTGTGTGTGTGTGTGTGTGTGTGTGTGTGTGTGTGTGTGTGTGTGTGTGTATGTGTGTGTGCGCACGCTTGCATGCGTGCCCGCGCACTTTGTTTTGCCATCCCTGGTGACAAAGCAACACCATAGAACAAGGATATATATCCCACTAAGGTTCCAACTGCCTGTGGTCTTACTGGGGTGCTCCATTAGGTTATGGGCCCAGCTGAGCCAAAGTTAAAACATTGGGGTCTTAGAGGAAAACACAAGATCCCTGTGGAGAGAGAGCAGGAGTGGAAGGCACAGGCAGCCTGGGGCAGGGAAGACAGGGACAGGAGAAGGACCTAGGAAAACTATGGCAGATAGAAAGAGGTTTGAGATATATCCCTCCTCTGCAGCATGTCCATCACAAACCAAGGTCAAGGTATAAAACAGGGACCCATCAGACCCAACCTTAAGGGAAGATCTCTTAATTGCCCTCAGAGAAGTCACTCAGGAAGCCTTCCTACCCTGGCCTCTTTGCCTGTTTCTCCTCATCACAACTTCTGAGCAGCTGCAACCAGTTGCACAGCAGGTAGCAGGAGGTGACTCAGGTGAATGACCAGCCCAGCAGAACAGGGTACCAGGCCTGCAGGCTAAGCTCTGTGAATGTGTGGTGCAGAGCCCAGGAGTATGGGAGTAAGAGCCTCTGGCAGGACAGCTCCATTACTTAAGACGATCTGTGCCCCCAGCCCCTACCCCCACCCACTGCCCCCCACTCCCTCCCCACTTCTGGCCCTCCTTACCAGAAGGAAGATCTGCTTTGTTTCTCACTTGGGTCTCATTTCCTTGTGCATTGCTAAGGGACTTGGGGCACACAGGTAAATCTCTAAGCTGACAGGCCAGTGTGAGTGGTGAAAGAGAGCTCTGTGGGGGAGGGGCTGTCTGGGAAGGTCCTAACCTCTGCAGTCAGGGAAGCGAGATCACCATAAGCTTACCCCGCCCCCAGTCTGGTGCTGACACAATTTTACTAAGAAGCAGTCATTGAACCCTGTCGTGTGACAGTTTGACTCTAGATCTAAGAATCAGATCCCAGTCCGCTTGCCCTCTGTGAGCCCCACTCCATGGGGTGAGGTAAACAAATCATGTCACTTAGAAAATAAAACAGCAATGAGGGAGAGAGCAATGGTGAGGAGGAGGGCCGCTCTATCTGGGGAGAGCAAGGAAGCCTCTGCCAGGTGATGAGGTTGAGCTGATGAGATCTGATTAGATCACCGGTCAAGAAGAGCTCTGGATAAGAACAGACGATTGATGAGAATATCCTGCCCGAGGAAGGAGCTGACCCTGTTTGAGGAAGACAATGATTCCAAGACAATGAGGAAGCCAGCAGGGCTGCCTCATGGGTCTGTGGGGATCTGCATTTTGCACTAAATGGAAAGGGGGGAGGGGGTCAAGCAAAGAGATGATGGGGTTTGACCTTCTGGAAGATGACTGTGGCCATATGGAGAACGGATCACAGAGAGGCCAGAATGAGAAGCTGGGACCCTAAAGGCACAGGGCAAGAGAATGTTGGCTTGGCCGCCCTGGTCACAGCAGGAATAAGCAGCGCAGATACTCATTTCTGTATGGATTCCTGGAACCAAGGCCTTCAGAAGCTAGGTGGACAAAGGGAAATGAGAGCCATGGGAAGGAATGAGCCTTGAAATGCAGACGATGCAAGGAAATCGGGGCTCCGGGTAGAGGTCAGCTTCTGAACATGGAAATGACACAGTGGCTCAGGAAGCTACCGGGATATACCAAATTCTGAAAGGAACCACCACCAGCCTGCCCTCTGCCAAGCCCTCATTTCTACCCAAGAAACCCTGAAGCCTGACTTTCACTGAGGCAGAATCAAACCCTACTTTCTCCAGACTTCCCATATTAGAGTCACAGAGCCCCTCCACCTTGGAAACTGCATGAGTCCATGGGACATACCCTGAGCAACAGGACTGAGAGGTAGAGTACCGTTCTAGAAACAATCTGGGACCCTTTGATCAGTGAAGCCAGGGATGAAGTCCAATAAGCTTCCTTACATCCCAAGGAGTTGACTCTCCTCAGCATCAGCACCACTGCCCTAGGATAGTGCCTGGAAGCAGAGTTAGCCCTGTTTCTGCAGGAGAAGAAAATCTGTGTGCAATGAGCTCCTAGGCAGACCCTCAATGAGAAAAGGTGGAGAGAAAAGTGGGGGCCCCTGCACCCTCAGAGAAAAAAGTGAAAGATGAGGGGCACCACACCTGCTGAGACAGAGGACTTACCCACTTGGGATGGCATGTCATCTGTCTTTCTCATGGATCCAACTTCCCCCACCTACCGCTTTCAGACACCTGTACCTTCAAGCCCAGCTGTCCCGATCACAGAAGCTCCCAGACACAACACAAAATCCCAAGACTATGAGGAAGAGGAGGGGCCATTTAGGACCTCAGGTTTTTTTTTTTCATAAACAGTAGCTTTTTTTTTAAAGATTTATTTATTATGTATACAGTGTTCTGCCTACATGTATGCCTGCTGGCCAGAAGAAGGCACCAGGTCTCATTACAGATGGTTGCTGGGAGTTGAACTCAGGACCTTTGGAAGAGCAGTCAGTACTCTTAACCTCTGAGCCATCTCTCCAGTCCCTTGTTTTGTTTTTAACTGCAAACAAAGATTAGCTGTATAACTACTGTCCAACATGGAAGTTGCCAACTCTATGGGGCTAGTCATGTTTACATTAAGATAAAATAATACTAAAAATTCAGGTCCTCAATCTCAAGAGCCCATATGGAGTCCCCAGCAGTCCTGGCGATTAATGGCTGTAGCTTGGGACAAGACAGGGGTGGGATATCCCCATCATCCTATAAAACTCACCTACATGGGGAGGCTTTGGGTCAGGCCTCAGCATCACCTGTTACCATGAGAAATCTCCTGGCTGAGAACCTCTGGAGTGACTTTCAGCTGCCCTTCTGGTCTAGAATCCAGACCTTGCATCTTCTGTCCCCTGAGCCCATCAGTGGTACAGAAGCATCACAAGTTCAAGGCTAGCCTGGGAAACTCAGCAAACCTGTTTCAAAATGACAAACATCAAAAAGGCTGGGTCTGCATCTTCGAGGCAATGGCAAGCTCAGCTCATGGCTGGAGTAAGTCTGATCCAGACTGTGGCTATGGCTGCACTGGCTGGAACCCTGCTGGCATGACTATTCCTTAATTTCTTTCCCTGTCAAACCTCTCCAGGCTCATGCCAGGCTAGATTCCCACTGTCTTTAAGAAGAGATGCAGGTCTACACCCTTGTGGGACACAAGGGCACTGTGGAAGAGCCACAGGTCACTCAGAATCAGAACGGGCATCCAGTTATGTTAGACTTTCTTAGGCAGGTGACGTAATGACTGAGGACCTGAGCTCCCCTGTCCTCAGTATGTATGAGAGTATGCCAACAGGCTGCAGGCCATTTTGCCTGCCAGGCCTCCCATCCAGACACAGAGGAGAACTCAGAGCTATGCCTTAGAGGCTTAGGGCCCCAGATAGAAGCTAGGTTTGTTACTTCCTGACTGGCAACTTAGCTG